TGTGTGTGTGTGTGTGTGTGTGTGTGTGTGTGTGTGTTGAATTAATCAAAAGTAGACAGGAGAAGACCAGGTGGTGACACTAAAACATGAATATTTTCTTTTGTTTCCAGTTTCATGTGTGGTTACTATACATGTATGTACATAATGTTAAAGGGTACAGTTCATATTTGACTGAGAACAGGTTTCTAAATACTCAGGCTGTTCTATTGCCCCACCTTACCATATGGATCTTAATAAAATGGTCACTTTGTTACTGCTGTGTGTATTCATTCTACAGACAAAGGGGTGAAAAATGAAAAGGTTCACTGTTGATCTTTGATAAAAGGTTTTTATTTTTTATAAGTCTTATATTACATATTAAGTAGAGATAGTCCTTAAATTCATGTGTGCCCTGAATGCAGGTAAGAAGGTATTGGATATGAGACCTAAAACCCACCTGGAAGTTCCCCACTCTACATAAAAACTGGACTGGTTCTTATAAAGTACTTTTCTACTTGAATACTCAAAGCATTTTATACAACATAAACAGTTTTCTATATCTAAGTGCTTTCTGTATAACGTTCACACACATTCACACTCTGATGAGTGTATCATTCAGTATCTTAGCCAAGGACACTCAAACCACCAACTATCCACTCTGCTTCCTGAGCCTTCCTCTGTAGATGCTTTGTTTCTCTTTCTAATCATGCCATATTAAACCATTATACACCTTAATAGTAAAATTAAAAAAAATGTGTTTAAATTGCATGAATTAATATTTATTAACGTCTCTTTGTGACGTCATACTATGATAATGACTGCCACAAACAGAGCGTCCTCCTGTAACCATGGTTACGGGAGTTCGTTGCAAGAAGTGTTGTGAATCTCGCTGAGACTGGGAACCTCCTGCTGGAGGAATGCTCTGCGATGATGGTGGAAAACAGCCGCCATTCCACCCATTTGAGAGCTTCAAAGAACTGGCTGCAGGTATGATTGAAAGTTTGACAACACCGACGTTGATGCGTCTGTGATTTATTAGTGATCGCTCACTTGTGTGCACGCGCATGTAGGTGAACGCTCGCGGCATGACGTCACACAGCTCAGTTCCTTTCTGCTTTGATGTCACAGTACGTGCCTTTGATCTTGCAGCACGTGACCTCCACTTGAGTCCCTAAATAGGGGTGAAACAGCGG